CACGCCAAGCGCCGCGTGGAGTGAGTGAGTGCGGGGTCGATCAATTTGATAACACGCGATCACCGCATACGCCTGATGAGCCCTGAGATCACCCAGGCCTCGCGTCGCCAGGCCTTCGGGACAAAGGTGGCGGGACCCCGGGCCGCGTAGTGAGGTAGCGATCTCATCAGCTCACCTGATGGAATCACCGAACGACCGGGTAAATGTAGCGTGAGTGGTCGGGGACGAAGATTTCCGATCGCGTGAGAGCCCGGGTGGTGCGTGAGGGCTGCCAGCCTTGTCGGACGTGAGCGAACATAATTCGGCCAGCCAAAAATCGACCAGGTGAGTGTACGTTAGGTGTCTGCATGTTGATGTGCTGTACGTGTGCGCCTGTGTTACATTACTACCGGGCACCCCCGATACATGCCCTCGTGATAAATGAATAGCAAGGGTAGAGAAGGTAGAAACGTGCGAGTTTTAACCAGCACCAGATGAAAAGTGATGGCCTCCCGCACGTAGCAGGAACACTAGGCAACCGCTGCGGCTAGCTGCCATACATACATGCTCCGCCGACGTTTGTGGTTTTTGTCACATAGTTGTGGGCGCTGTTGGACCCGCCCCTCGTCGTTGATCAATTAAAGCTGTCGTCAAGCTGTAGACATAGCGGAGTGGGATCAGTTAACCTCGCCCGGTGGGCCAGTGGGCACGCGCGCTGCAGAAAGAACGTGTTCCAGCGCACTTCCAAGGAAGGATCCAAAGTCCCTGTGACAACTAGCCTGGATGCCAGTCACGCAAGGCGACACCAACCTCTTCGACTACACTCTCAGGAAAGAAACGCATGCCCTTACTCTTAGTTCTAATAGCCAGTATCAGGTAGCTGTAATACAAGGCCATACAATTTCCTTCGTAGATATATACGGACATTTTGGCCAAGGAACCAAGGAGCTGACCTGCGTAGACCCTGGAAACAGTCTGACATCTAGGCTACCTTTACAGCCCGGCAGAGCTGTCGAATGCCGCTGTGTGTGACAGGTATCGTCTGGTGCTGAAGACTCAGGGTTTTCCTCGGCATATACTCTACTCTACGCCATACACTGCGCTGATGAGGACAACTCTGGTCCTTCAGCCCAATATACAGCCTAGTATAACATACAATATTGGCAGGTTGCCATGGAAAGTCATGATAATACCGTAGTAACTTATGAGCAAACGCCTCTAAATAAAACCACCAGTTCCGTGTGTTTTGTGAGTTCTGAAAGGATTGATTTCTCGTGTGGATTTTACAGTACACTACTAGAGTAGTATACGATTGGAAACCATTTCGTCAATGCGATGTGTACAAAAAAAGCCTAGGGTCGGTCGGCTAGCCTCTACCAGGCTTCGGGAGGCGGTCGAAAAAGAGTAGAAATCGGCCAAATAGAGAGATAGCATGCCAGGGGAGATGGTCTACGGATGGGGCAAAATGGTCTCTGTACAGACCAACTCCCCTGACATGCTATATCTCCATTTGGCAGATTTCCGGCCACCTACCGAAGCCTGGTAGAGGCTAGATCGGGCAACCGCAAACTCAATTTCCCCAGGCCTGAGGTACCTCCGCTGACTGCATCATAACACAAAACCGTCTGTCAGACAGTGGGCGCTTTTTTGTATTTTGAAGTTTACACAGTGTCACTGAGCGTTTCATGCTTGTTTTGCTTCTTTCGTCGCGCCAATGTTGCCCACACAGAGCCGTCTATCAGTGACAAGCCGACCGTACACTTGAGGGAGACAAGCTGTCACCATAGCCTCGTCAGCAGGCTCTACGACTGGGGCTATCTTATTAATGTATCAAGTTGAATTAATTATATCCCATAGCATACTGATATCTTTGAGGCAAAAAATGCGACGTCACTGACGGAAAACTGTTGCTTGTTTGTATTGTAGGCTAGTTCTGGATGAGTGGAAGTAAATGTTACTGTCAGACAGATTTTTGTCGCTTTAGTTTTGGTTATAATGTTTATGGTTGCACTAGAAATCATTTCGCGCTCTTGCATTAGATACAGAGGTTAAAGAGGATGTCATCCCTAAAATTTACTTCCCGTGGCCTTAGCGTGTTTGGACGTAGTTATAACGTGCACTACCGGAAATACAAGAGATATTCCTAATTGTTCGAGTTGCGTGTCCTCTCCTGCACGCAAGGGATTACCGGGATTGACGATCACTCACACAGCGCCACGTGCTCGACAACAGCCATTACAGGACGGCAGCTTCCTGTCAGTGTCAGTTATAGCCGGCTCACAATCACAGGTTGTCGTACGATTTTGATGCCGAACCAATGTGACAGAACGAACCGCCGACCATGAAGGATCTACGACGTCCTTTTCAGTGCGAAGACAGTTAAATTTTGTACAACACACATATATCATCGGGCTACCTCAAGAATTGCCTTCAGTTTGCAATCGTACTACGATCGTATACGACATACGTACGACCCTCGAAGCCTGGGTGCCATCCTATTTGTATGCCGTGGCTCCCATACTCGCAACCTAAAATATTTTAGTCTCGTACCCAGGCTAGTACGGCCCAGTCACATGTGTTCTAAAAATTCAACTGTTATTATTGCGGAAAAGGCTGTGTGAATCTAGTTGGCTCTGTGAAAATTCTACGGCATCACAATTGATACGATGACCTCCAAGGATATGCAACCGTAAGCCCTGAACCAGGCTATATTGATCGATCATGACATACGGTTTGTAGCTACGGTATGTGTTCTAATCTATAACAACAGGAACTTGCCCACATCTAGGCAACAAGGACCGTTTACATCACTCATCGTTTATGTAGATTAGTATCACACGGCACATTAGTATCAAATGTGGACTCCCTTTTTTCGTAATGATTATGACAAAATTACATTTGCAGCCGACAGAAGAAAAACGCTTCCGTGATGTGCCGCTTTCTGAAATCTGGGCTTTGTACTTTATTCCACACACGGTTACACAAGCCGAGACTAGCTCGGCCACGTCTTCCGGAGATTAACAGTTCAAAGCCGCACGATGAGTGCACACGCAGGCGGCGATCCAAGCAGAACCGCCAGCACCAGCTGATGCGTGGTCGGCGTTAAGAGCCGGGATTCGCACGCATAAAGAGCCTCCGCGTTCTTGGAAAATGGCCAAACAGACCAGACGAACCCTCCAACGTTTTCTACCATCGAACGGGCGCGTGCACAGCATGCAATCATATGAGAATACAAGTATTTGACGAGCATATGCAGCAACGCCTCTCACACTCCTTCCACACTTACATCACTTCAACAAACCGTTTCTAGGCACTTCCAGCTGTTCCTTTCTAACCTTGTTATTTAGTATCCTTTTTTTTTCTCATATAAGGTAGTCTGACTGTGACTTATTTTATCGACCTCTGACCTCCAAATGTGTTATTTTAGATGTGTACATATATTTACTCGGCTAATTGGAATGATATAGGTTCTTATGATCATTTTTTTGTAATTTCACACTGTTGATATTATGTGCCCTATATGTTTTGTCCTTATGTGTTGACTCTCTAACATCAGCTTTGCTGCCTTGAGAGTCAGTGTAATGTCTTGTTGCATTTTCAATAAATAAATAAACGCTCTCATTGGTCGAGCCGCTAACTGCCATGCTGTCATTGGTAACAGTTAGAGCTGATGATTGTGATTTTGCGACATTTAGTTCGTCTTTCTTCTTGCGCATCTTTTAAGTAGCTTTGACGAGATTTCCGAAATTGTTCTTCACCCTAATCACTCATCTTGAATGGAAAGCTGTGTGCGAAAGCTTAATACAGAACTATCACACATTGTGAAGAGTATTTTCTCCGTTGCTATGATGATAAAACATCTCTTGTCGCTTATGTGTTCTTTATATACATGGCCAAAGTGCACGCGGATGTAAATTTCAAATCGATAGACCAGTTGAATTTATATTAATGCTTCCCCATTATGAAAATAACGGGGAAACAATAGCCTCCTTAACAGGCTTTGAGGTGGCTCACAAGAAATATAGTGCCCAGAAGTGATATCAGCAAGCCCGGCCCATAGAGCCTGCTTAGGAGTCTAGGAAAAAGAGGATAACATCAAATGGTGGAGGCTTGGAGGTAGCCTGGATGCCAGACATATAGCACACTGGGCCCATAGTAATATACATCCACTGAGATATTACTAGTACTTTGGGCCCTGTATGCTATGGGATCCTATGGGTCTGGCCTCCAGACTAGCTTGGAGGGAATCTTGGACCTAAAAGTACCGTCCATTTCAGAAGCCTCGCTTAGCAGAATGGTATTCATTTTGTATTTCAGTAGGAACACTTAAGTTAGAGTAACGATCTGTTCACGTGGAGCAGTGTGAGTGGGAGAAAGCTCCACGCGCTAACACGCATATCGACCCCGACCGTAATTAATCCGGGATCGGCGGGGAAAAATCGATCCGTCCCTACGCACTACCAGACACGTATTGAATGGGCAAATAAGGGGATAGTTTCGTATCCCTAAGGGACGGCCACACGGCAAACATGAATTATTCAACCAATCGTTTAAGGGACGATTGGTCGTTTTACCGTAAAAACCGTACAAGAGACGTCATCTAGAATACCCCAGTGCTACTGTAAAATATATATAGTGTATAGTCTCAATGGGATTGGCGTTAAAATTAAACTGCTATACAAATCGTATTTCTAAACCCACGAAAGAAAAAGATTACATAAAATCAACTTCATTTGTCCGCTTTTCTTTATTGGGTCTTTTGCCAAAGGTAAGGCAGACATGTTTTTTGTCTTCGTAGGTATATCGTACTTCCATGAAATGATTCGCGGACGCTTCCTTCAACAACGGAAGCTAGAAACAGACAAATTAAAATGCCAAGTCGTACAATGTAACATGTTGGTAATATATCATAGTGAGTCAGTCGCCGTCCGCGAAATTCAGCGAGATACGCAGATTCAGAAAATGGCGCGAAAAGACCGAGGCTAGAGTGAGGTCATGTTAGTAGTGCCCGCCCGCCTGGTGCGAAGATTTACTAGCATTAGGGCAGTAATCGATCACAGTGCTGTGGAGGGGCCTTTTGTCGTGTTGTCTGTGTCACGAAACGCGCTGGTTTTCCCTCCACCGGACCCGATCCACATCCCGAGCCACGGCCACGGTTCCACGGACACCACTGACGGGAAGAACCGGAGGAATCTTGCGGGTACTGGTGAGGGATCTCAGGGTAGAGTGCGCACGGCGACAGCCAATGGTTCCCTCCCCCCAAAGGGACGTGCCATGTCAACTAACTACTTTGCATAACCTCGCTTGTTGTAAGGGCCGTTTTGGTCGACCCACCGTTGACAACTCGACGTCACCCTCGTAACTTGTGCTTGTACACGGACTACCCTGACACGGCCGGGATCACATATAAGTACACAGTTATTCCAGGACTGCCAACAAATCAACCAGGCTGGACCGTCCTTGGGGAGACTTTGTCGGTCGGGACTACAGAAAGTCACCGACGGTTTCTGAGTGACAGCTTAGGAACCGCGAGACGCCGAAGGACCGTTTATCAATGGACAATATTCGACGTGTAGAGCGGCCACGCGGAACCAAGTCACGGAATATCGGCGATCCAGTAAAGATACGGGAAAACTGCACAGTACAAGGCAGTAACTCAAGTTTCCAGTTGGACTTTAACAGATCGTGAAGACGGGACGCCATTTGTTTTGTAGCGGATGTTGTCCTACAGTTGGATTTCGAAAAGACACGTGCCCAGTCCCTAAAGTTGGAGTCGTGAGTATTATTTATTGTGTAGGCTGTGCGATATGTTTTACAGTGAACTGCCAGCGCGTGCACGCTTCACAGTTTTTGCAATTTGCAACCAGCTCCAATATAATTGACAAGTAGGTGTTAAGCCATAAACAGCAAGTAAGTATAAAGAGGGGGCGTCTGAAATGAACGTGTTAATTCGTCAACAGATTAGAGGGAGGCGCCAGATCGTTTCGTCCTTTCCGGTAGAGGTTTTTAATTTTATAGACTCCCTGGTCGGACAAAACACATAAAATTGTACCATGGGGTTCTCAGCCGTGGATCTAAACGATCTAAGTTGCCTTTGCTACGCCATTTGATTTGTTGTCAGAAAAAAAAAGCGGGCCCGCCTGACCTCATGAATTTCCGCCCTCCCTAGTAAAAGAGGCTGACATGCCGCCGCAAAAAGCGATTAATTTGTAAGGCAAGCCGCAAAATCGAAGCCTCAGCGCTAGAGCCAGCGTTTGGATTACCGATCCCTTCGTATCGACGTGCATTTCGCCTGAATAAATTATATCCCCGGCGTGCTTCGTGTGGGAAAGGCGACCCCGGGTCCGACTCCAGGCTTAATTCACAGATCGATCAGTAACTGCTCATTGTTTTCCTCTGCACGCTTCTATTTGCCAGAGGTCAGGATGCTAGACGTTTTGGCTGAGCGCCAGTGTCTGCGGGCTGGCGGGGTGACTGGGAGTTGATACCAAGGCTTTTGTATCACGTGCGGTCTGTTGGTTATATTCCAGGTCTGCCTAAGGTGAAACATGGGCGACATCCACGGTAGGCCAGATGCGACCAGGACAGAGAGTATGGTGGAGTCACTCATCCGCAGGACTCTGCTGGGGGGAACAGGTGAGGAGGCTGGCTCCCAGGGGAGTTTGCTGAGAGACCCGCCCCCAGGGAGCGTGGAAAAGGCCATTCACCTTGATAGAGTCATTCTGAATGCAGGTCGAAAGATCTCTGGGAGTGTGACACCAGGGGAGAAGGAGAACAGTACGCGAGCTGCCCCTGAACTTGGGAACGCCAGCGGCAGGATGGAGAAGTTTCCCAAGGTTGCGCAGGAAGCAGTGCGGAAAGCCTACCGGAGCAAACCTGCCAGCAAGAGAGCCAGGGATGTAAACAAAGGTGCGATGGAGGTGTGCCCATTACCTACTGACCCTGGTATTTCCCAGTTGGAGGAGGGCCAAGTGGGTTCTACTACAGCTGGCAGCGATGCCGTCTCTCCTGGGCAGCAGTCAATAAAACTGGAGATCTCTACAGCCTCCAGTAGTAACAGTACTGGGTCTCCCCAGTCGGAAAGCACAACGTCTGTCACCAGTCCAACAAGCGAGGATTCTTCTGCCACCAATCAGAGGAGCAGGGTCAGCAGCCCTATCCTGTCTGCCCCCAGGAAGAAGAGGAAGAGGTGTGGGGAGTGTGAGCCGTGCACCAGGAAGGAAAACTGTGGCGAGTGCTCAAGCTGTAAGAATAGGAAGACTGGGCACCAGATCTGTAAGCTGAGAAAGTGCACAGAACTCAAGAAGAAGGTGAGTTTGTGGTTCTTAAATTCTGTCTATGTCAATACTTTTTGGTCAACATGTATCGAAAGAACACATGTCCTTATCACATGTCATTTTTAAAAGACTGCTTTGTCACTTCCTGTCTCCCTGAATATGCTGTACTGTGTGATTTAGGTGAATGGCAGTGGCAAATGTTGATTGTGACATGTTTACCCTTGGTACACAAAAGGTGTTGTGGGACAGTAGGACACCGAGGGGTCAGGAGTACTTACCCGGTCACATTTGTCATAGGTCATTGTGCGATTTTGACTTTGACGTTGTAAGTTTTCAATCGGGCTGTGACAGAAACAACAAGGATCTAGGACTAGGGATCGGTAACAAGACAGATTAATGTTGTATCACATATGCAAGGAAGTCCTCAATTTGTGATCATATGATGATCATATGATGCATATGACCACACATGATGGGCAAAATTGTCATAACATGCTTAATTAATATTCGTGTGTGAGACCACGGAAGTGTTGATGCATTTAAGGATAGGAGAGAAATAGCACAACAGAATGGCAGAAAGAATCGTGTGTTAAGTTGTACGAACCTGACATCAACAGCTTCTTATAATCCCATAAAAAATCCTCTCCATATTGTTCTTTCCCAATGAATTTTTCTTCATCCTGAGAATTACATGTTTTGGTAAAGTTCATAGGCATTTTGTCCTGCTGTAAAGTGGTCATTTGTATGTGTCAACTGCAATACCATGGGACGTAAGTCTCCCAGCGGATTGTCAGGCTAATCCTGTCTCTGCTGTAAGGGTCAAGGTCAGCGTCACACAGGGCAGGCACTACATTTGGGTCAGGCAGGGGGGAACCGTTATCCACAGTGGGGAGGGAGGAGGTTTTGAGATTGGACTATTTTAGACATCATTCAGTTGAAAACTATTTTCTCATCCGGTATGAAAAGTATAGTGAAAGTTTATTGCAAATACATGCCCGAGGGCTAATTGCAGTTACAAACAACATAAGAAAGAAAATACAGTGGTATGTGAGACTATATCTACGTCTAGCATTATACTATATTCTACAACATGCATGGTACTAGATTTACTGGGTTTGACTTCAAGTTCATATTTATGCCAGAGACCACTAAGTTTTAAAAAAAGGTGTATTTAAGGAAATGCAGCATCAGTAATCTCTGAGTACTGTAAATCACTTTATGTTTGTAGGAGCAAAATTTCGTGGTCTGCGGAAAATGGACATATTTGAGGAACTATATGTTCATGGTGGCGGCAGGGGAAGAAAAAAAAAGCAATTGTTCATGGTAATGACAAGTTTGCAGTGATGTGACCGCGAAAACTGCAAATATTAAAGTACAGTGAAAGAATTGTGATTCACAGTGTACAAGAACCTATCTGGTAGTTCTGTAGCATGTGCTTCAGACTGAAGGACATAAAGGACTGTCCCTGTGATGTAAATCATGCAAAAGTAGGTTACTACAAATCTCCCATGAGTGCACTGTTACAATCAAGCCTTCTTGGAGGTAGAATAGATTTCATGGGAATTATTCATTCAATGAGACGAAAATAAAAGTGGATTATGCTGGTGTGGTACTTTTATAAAAGGCTTTGGTTGTACATGGTAGACTACATGTAGTCCAAGGGACACCACTACAGTACTAGAACCAGTTCTGTAATTTGACTTACACATCCAACCTCACCAGCAGAGGTTAAATGGGTTTGAGCCCCGCTAGGGTAGGGGGTTGCATGGATCCTAGTGGGTAGGGATATACAGCTGGCAGTCCTGTATATGGGAGAACTTTAGGTAGGCATCAAACCTCTGCATGTAAAAGAACCTAACACATTCATTAGATGAGCTTGGCTGAAGAAAAATGTGACCCTCTGGCTGGTGAGGTGCATTATCCCACTACATGTAGCTATTCAAAAGCTTTATGCTTTGCCTTATAATATTCTAGAGGACATTTACTTTTAAATTACACTTACAGTTTACTTCCTGAAAGCACATGTATGCCTTTGTCCATTTCAAGTAAATGGTCCCTTTAATGTCTGTTCTAATTTTACACTGGACACAGGTGAATGAACACCTAGGTATCTGTCACTACCTCTATGTTAAATGGAGGTACAATGTATTGTTTTTGGTTTGTATGTTTGCCTCATCTCTTCCCGAATATGTTTGGTCAGATGTTATGGATGGATCGTGATGATATTTGATACATGTTTGTGGGTAGGTCTTGGAACGACGAAGCTCAAGGAGTACTAGTATTTTGGGCCTCCTGGTAGCTCTCTTTGGTACTGCAGCAGATTTTTCTATGTCAGAGCAAGGAGCTTTAAATAGTAAGTGAATCAAATTTTACTGTCTTTGGTCTTATCTGCTGCTTGTACAACTGGTGTCTTGCACCAAAAGGCAGTTTACTGGATATGCAAAACAAACAAATGTTGCACTCACCAATGATTGTATTTCTATTTACTGGCAATGATCCCTGAACTGAACTTTTTTTAATCAAGAAACGTAGATGTTTGTAGTAAAACGCAATGCTAGAAAATATCTAGAAATATTGAGGATCCGTTTCTCTGCAGTTCCAAATGAAACCACAGGTGGGGTGACTGAGCCTTTGCTGGCTGTGGTGAGACTTGAACAAAGATACCAAAGATAAATTGACCATTCAAAAATGTCCTTCCATACTTATGTATTACCCAACAGCCATACTGATTTGATTTATTAATTTTTCTGGTTATTTTTCATTATTTCCATCCTTAAAACTTCATTATTTCACTCTTGTTTTTAATGATTTGCTCAAACCTAAGAAGTGACCAATCCCTTTCCCCTTATGATTACAGGGACGAAAAAGGTCACTGTACAAAATCATTTATATCCATCCACACTACTTTTTTTTACTGAAAACTTATTTTTACTGAAAACTGTAATAAAACAATAACAATACAGCATGCATGCATGTTGTCATGGTTTTGGTGTTACCCATAATGCCCCACATCTACAATGTACCAGCATGCAATAGGTCAATCCGTGAAAAGTTATCTGCTGCAGCTTTAAGTTTTGTTCCCTTTTCCTTGGATAGAGAGCAGCTATTAACTTAATGAATCTGCCATTAATGAGTCCTGGTGTGGCCATTGTGCTGGCAGTTGAAAGACGCTTGTGCTCCATTAGGTCTTGCTTTTTTGTCTACCGGTGGGGCATGGGGTTTGCCTATGGTGACCCATTGATCTGGTTGTATCCTGTCTCCATAGCAGTTACAAGCCTGAGGTATAGCACTCGAACAGCCAGCTTTTCTGTTGGTCAGCAAACTGGCGGACAAGAAGAAACAGGGCAACAAAACATCTGGTCATTAAGGTGGACACATGCAGTGTAAAACTGGAGGTACACCAAGGGTCACACAGGGTGTCAAGGAGTCAAGGAAAAAAAGCATCGGACAGTTGGGCAGTTTGCACTTTGTGTACTGTGTCATTTTGGGTTTAAACCAGATGCTAAACTGTACTTTCTAGAACCACTAAGTCTTATTAGTCAATTAGTCAGTTGTTCTTCTTATATATTCTTGATGTCTATGTCTTTTCATGAGTGAGCAGGAATGATTAGAATCTGAGTCTTATCAAGATCCCAAATTAGAGCTCTATTTTAGAAGACGCAAGGTTTCAGACTGTACTAGGCAATGACAGTAGCTCTTATTAGACTTAGGGTTCCCATGTCTCGTGACGCATGAGGCTTTAGTCTTGTCCAAAAAGCCAATAATCGGCCAGGTAAGTGAGTTGCACTAAGGGTAACATTTTTAGAAGGACTAGCAGAACTCTGTGGTGGCCGAAACTCTCCTGGCAAATTTTTCTTCCTTTTCGTATTTTGCTATTTTTCAGTCCACATTGATAGTCTGGTGGAGACTATAAGTCTGCGTATGTTGTTGACTGGCTTGTTTCTCTGCCCAAGGCGCTGTATAATAGCTCGTTACTCTGCCACTAACCTGTCCCACAAAACAATCCAAACACGTGTCTCCTTGTTAGGGTGGTGTGAATGTAAGCAAAGTGACTGCACTACGTAGTGTCTGGGAACAAACCACCTCCCAGAATGCGCAGAGTCGTAACCTCGGTGCATGGACCGGACTAGACCAACCCACGAGCCTTACCTCTACAAGCAGTCACTTTGTTTGCGCTCTTAACCACCAACAAGGCATGCCTGACAAACGGAGTGTCTCTGTGATAAGTGGTCGGGGAATATTTTGGAGGCCTACCTTGACCTTATCTTGACCTACGACCTTGCACCCCTTCGGCGTTGACAGTGGAATAGTCCCAGACAGGGGTTGCCCTTTGGTCATCCAGCCAACCCAACTGGTACAGGCGGCAAGAGCAACACTAAACACCAGCGCAGTCCTGGGGTATCACTGACAACCTTTCTAAACATAGAAACTGGGTGGGTAAGGTAATGGCTGTTACATCTGACCTTCAGGCATCATGGGACTTTTCAAAAATGAGCTGGGAGGCAGATGTCCGCATGTTTCTCCAAGACCTTGAATATCGCTTAGGCCACAGCAAGTAAATTTTATAGATGACATCCACACATTGATTTTGAATAGGAATTTTTTCCCACTAGTAATGGTCAATGGCACTAGTTTCTTAGCCTTGAGTGCTGTTGTAGTAAACCAGTCTATCACACTAGCATTACTTTTTACATTCCTGGAATAATACAGGAATAAAAGTTGTTGATATCATGTTTTGTTTTAATTCCTGTTATAACTTATAGTCTCTATTTTGACTAGTTGTGTTTTTTTTGCCCTTTTTTGTTTGCTCATGATGTCATCTATACAATTAACTTGCTGTGGCCTTAACACTATATGCCTACCTGCCTAAATGCTTAAGCACTATATACCGGAAGTGAAGCTTATATGCCCTAGATATGATTACTTACACACTAATGATATAGAGAAGGTCACGAAGTAAACAAAGGTAGCGAAAATGGAGTACTAACTATCCGATAGAGGGCCTGTCAATATTTCACTTTAAGGTGCACAATCAAATTTTGTAGTGTAGTTGATAATTTGGCAGAAATTCTATTTTCTTTCCCGAAATTGCTATTTATTTTACTCAAATTTGTCCCAAAAGAATCATTTTCATTACTTGTTTGATATAGATTCTCAGTATACCTTTGGCCATTTCCTAAATGTGTGTGTGTAAACCCCCTTCTACTAGAATTTGTAACTGAAAACAGCAGAGCCCTATTATTCCAGGTATATCTAATGTTCCTAATAGTCACTATGCTATAAATGCACAGAAAGTATCCCTCAAAGAGGGACTTTCTATCTCGAAATCTACCCCCTGACAGAATGGTATCATCTTCCTGGATATGCTTTAGGTGATACGCAGGGTCTCCTTACTCCTATAAAAGGAATGTATACAAATGGCAGCCAATCAGGGAGCAGCTCTCTGTTTGGCTATTTGCAGAGGGTATTGGCTGACATAATGGTGGCCTGCACAGTAGAGTGGTGAAAATTAATGGACAGCTGCTGGGGCCATTGTGCCGGAAGATGAGGCCAGAGTGAACTGTAGGTTTTTAACTGGTAAATTTTTAGTGCCTTCCAACTGTTGTACAGGACTGAGCATCTTTGTAGTGATGTGGGGCCCTCGTTGGTTCCTTTGGTTTGCTTTAGAAAGGGTCAGGGGGATGTGCCGGGGCCGGCAGTAGCCATCTTGGAAAGGTTGCCCCTAAAGCCCCACCAAGGATTTTCCCATGACACTGGCATGTGGCAGCTTGGAAGTCCGGAGAGGAGGTTTTAATTTTGATCTGTGGGTATTGTCTTTGTGTTCCAGGGAACAAAATTGTTAGATTTTTTTTCTGAATGGTAAAGATGTAACCGAGAATGTTTTGTTTGCTTTGTGTGTGGCAAAAATATTTGCTGTAGAGTGCAATATGGTTCCACAGAGGGTCATCTCGTGCACAGAATGCATTGTGTCCACAATGCTTCTCAAATTTTCTGTTTTCCGTCAGTCTTAAATGTCTGTTTTTCTTTTCAGGTTGGGACAACAAGCAGTGGCATGGAGCAGAGGACAAAGAAGGCTCAGACAAAAACGGTATTGTCCTGCTGTATAATTTTGTCCTTTATTCGCAAAGTTTTCCCATTGCTTATGACCGTGCTGGTAATTTATCATGACCCCATAGGCTTCCCCCCTCTGGATCCACCTACGCCTGTGGTTGTACGTAAGCCAGCATTGTTGTTCCCACACATTATATTTGCTACAGATACTGATTAGGAGATGTCAACATTTGCTACAGTAATGAAGACTGACATTACCAGTATAGAAGCGTCCTATATAGGAACCCACTTCCTCTCAATGGGCCCCACTGGAGCTTTGTAATTTTGATTTTGTGTGGGCCCTCACACTGAAATTTGAATTGTGTAAAACAATGTACCAGAAACATGTAGAATATTTGATGTCTTAAGGTTGCTGAAAGATGAAATTAAGCCCTAGAAATTGTAGAATATGGCCGATCTATTGTGAAGAATAACATATAGCATGATTTTTCAATACTCTATGAATACAGTATGATTCATGTGTAAGTCTGAGATATTTTCTACCGTTGGATGAGTTGTGTCCAATTGTTCACTGTTTATTGATGACTTCCAGCATGTCTCATCAATCTTGCAAGCTTGCCTAGTCCTTGTAATTTGAAATCAATGACGCCCCGCAAGCTACTATTTAGGATGTATAATGTATACAGATCCAAACATATCGTTGTATATAACTTCTCTTCCGGCATTCGTGTATAAATACTAGCCTTGCTTATGCGTCCAGAACCCTCTTGTTTATTCATGTGGTGAATCCGGAGCTTCTTTTCTTTTTTCCTGTCCATGCGGAGTCCAATTATTTCAAGGTCAGCCTTTCTTTGTGGTCAGTTTGACTTTTTGTGACAAAAGGCTCTTGTCTTTCTAGTGAACAGTCATTTTTCAACAGGGTGGTGGACACAATGAGAGCCATTCTAGCCCTTTGCCATTTTTTACCCATTTTAAGGCAGAAGTATTGTTCTGTTTGGTGGATCGTAGTTAACGTTACCATGCTTCCAAGGCAGGGACACACGGTTCACTATGCAACCATGCTAGGTATGTAAACCCGGCACAGAAAGATCAGTAGTGGCCGTGAGAAGGCACATATTATTTTCATGTTCCAGTTTGGCAGGGCTGATAATAGTTGTTGACCTGGATCAGAGGTAAACTAATCAGACTAGCTTCCTCTTCCTGGCCATTTACATGTGTAATCACAGTAATGACCTGGCAGTTTTCAATTTACCTGTTTTTTGTTCGAACTTCGCCTGAAAAAAAAAAAGTGCCACCATTTTGTTGGTAAAGTAAATGAATGGAGCATTACCTTCCACAAGGAATAATGTTTATTCTTTCATAATTATGGAAAATTGCCACCAAATTTTGAGGCCCATAGGTTTGGCTTCCTTGTGTCCAGGCAAGACTATGGAATTTAGAAATACTTTCTTTTACTGCTAGAAAAGAAGGACATTGGACATATGGAATAATGATATTTCCACCCAAATATGGAAACATGAGTTTTATGGGGACCCTGGGCTAGAGAGCCCATGGCAGGCCATATAGCACATGCACTTGCCCATGTGGATAGTGGCTGTTGGAAAAAAAAGCAGTATGGTTACATCCAGGCACTCATACAAGTGCTAATGAAGCCAGGCTCAGGCATTGTTTGTGTTGTGAGGGGCTTGGAAGCCCTGGGGAGGCCATTATTGTCTTGGCTCTAATGTTGTACAAATACTGCAGGCGTGAAAGCCTGTTGTTCAAGGTGATTTCTGTCTGAAAGGCCACTGGTAGTGCCCCTCCTATCTCAGTATCTTTAGTGAACTGCCATAAACCACTGCCAACTGTCCAACTGTGGGTCTTTAGCAGCCAGCTTGATAATGTAAACAGCCCCCTTATGAGGCCCCACCTAATTAATGCAGAGTGTGGCCTTTCAGGGGGAGGCTCTGCTCATCAAACCAGAACATGTTGAAAACCCTGCATGAGGATCACCTCTCAGAAATACATGGCAAGTATTTTACTGGTCCTTTTGTCCAACCCTATATTGTATAGTTTTTGAAAATTCCAGGATATTTGTTTTGTGCTGTGGGGTTGGTTTGGTGGGGAAGATTCAACAAAATGAGGGGATTTTTTTCCTAGGTTAGGATGTGGGCCAGCAGGTCCAAGAAAAAATGGCCTGAAAAATCCAACCTTTGAATGCAACAGTCTTGCAAATTGTATGCTATTCAATGTGCCGTTGCCCATAGATGTCTTTGAATCATTTCCCCCCTCAGATTACCTGTATTTAAAGAGAGCGCCCCGTTTTTAAAAGCATGAATGTGGATCCTGAAACATGAGACACACCGGTGCAGTGGCACACCCTGGAGGGGGATTTGGTTTTGTTTGAGTTCGATATTTGCACAGCATGTCCAAAACATTGCTTTGTGGGAGTGTTGTGACTTCTGCTTCTACAGGAAGGCCAACACAGGTGAGGGACACTAAAATAACAAACTGGAGGTTTCAGAAGACTACCATAAAGGTTTAAGGCTTAGAACTACATAGCAACAAATACAAATGCAGTTAGAATATCAGCAAGACCAACTTAAACATTGGTCTCTAGGATTTGAAATGATATCTAAAGTTTACACAATGTAACACTATGAAATACCAATCATATTCACAACTATACCATATCATGTGAAATGGTATATATTCTAGGATATGCTTGCGACTATAGTTGTGGTAGCTTTCTGGATATTGTCTGTACTCAGCGTACTGTCTGTGCTATTCTGGTGTAGTAGAGCATAACCAGATTCACTCGAGTTACTTTAGCAGTACAAAGGTTGTGGTTTCTGATAAGGGAAGGAAAACATTGCAGGAGGAGCTTTGAAATTCCTGTTGAAAGAAGGTTGAATGAGGATGTTTCAGTTGTGTTCACAATGGCTTCATTAATCCAAAATTTCATTGTGGCATGATGTTAATAATTGTCGTAATCCCATCTAATTTTGGTAATCCATAAAGTAGTTATGTTTTATGTCATATGCTTACTTCGTGTATTTTCTAGTTTGTTACTTCTTGCTTGAAAACTAAGTTTTACTTTGGGAAACACCACAGAAGACATGAATTCTGAGTCTATGTTGCTCGCAAGATGACAACTTGTGCCCTTTCGGTAGGCCTGTAAGCAGTATATAGAAGGTAGGATTTCCATGAAAAGTGGAATGGAAACTTAAGTTAAAGCTAGCTGTTGTTGCACTCTGTAGCCAGGTGTCTACCTGATTGCAGTTTGGGTCATACATACATGCAAACAGTAAGTTGCGTTACATTGCTGTGGTAAACAATGTCAACCATATGTTAACACAGCGGTCTAAGTCGTGCTGATAAATTTCCGCGGTATCGACTGTTCAATCCCATAAGGTATAAGATTCCAGTCCACCACTTCTCTGTATCAAACCTTAGGTCGAAAGGGCACCTCACGTGTCTGTTTCCATTGCCGAGGAGCTAACAAAGTGCAAGGGGTTGTTGGCCGAAAGTGACGCCATTATGGCCAATCCTTTTTCCATAGGCAAAGTGCCAGTGTCCTCAAATGACCTCACATGAAGTAGGTCAACTCGGCTGCTCCGACAACATCAACCGAGGGAACAACGAACTACCACGTGTCGTTGTTGTACACGGACCAGCGTGTCCTTAGTCAGAGCTTGTTCTATCTTTTCCCAAAGCTTACAACGGTACAAGAGTGGGCATGGCAAAAGATATAAAATGCAGAACGGCGAAAGTTTGGCATCTTGTTAATTGTACTCGTGGTCCTGTATAATGCAAGGTATTTAGCGTCCATTGAAATGTTTTTCCTTAAATGGGTTTGACTGTTGCTACTTTTTCAATGAGCAAATGCTGAGATTCCCTTCACCTGAGCATGACTGTACTGAAATTATAAGGAACAAGGATACCATACGCGCAACATAATTTGAAACGCAACAGATTTTCGTGCCAAACAAATATGTCATTATAACATTCCTCCATGCATTGAAGTCATCTTTGACTGGGTACATTAACAACTCACAGGCATACTTTGAGTATCAGTTGTACCAAATGTATATTTTAGCATCACAAGTTGTTCTGAAAATCTTACAAACATCCTAAATTTTTTTGAGTTGAGTAAAACATAGTTGTGTAACGTGTATGTTCAGAGGCTTGCAGATCTGTGCGAATACGTTTTTCTTAAACATCACAGAACTACTAGATGCATAGAATCCAATGGAAAGTTTACAATGTCTGGATGATACGACAGCATGTTGTTACTGCTTAATCGCACTTAATAACAACCGATGCGCTAATGTGACAGACCCGTTTTCTGTGGGCATCGTGCCAGTGTCCTTAAATGACCCCGTGTGAATCAAGTCAACTGAGCTGCAACGACATTACGGACCGTGCGAATGCTGACACCTCTCTTGCTGGACAATACTATCCAGTGATAAGTCTTCATGATTACTTGAATCGCACCCTTTCCTCATCTGCAGATCTAACTTGTGGCATCAATGGTCGAGTTTGGTTTGGCTAGCGCGCATGGGATCAAGCAGTCACGGGTTTTGATTCCTGGCTAGGTGTCGCGTCCCTCGGAAAGGCACTTAACTCCACTTTCCTCACTGCGCCCAGGTATAAATGACAGTTTGGTGCTGGATGTGGAAGTAGAGGAGTGAATACTGACTCTCAAAAATGGGATGGGATCCTTACCTTTCCTTATGTGGCAATGACCGACACTGAGGAATAGAGGTGGTGTTGTGCTGGTTACTGTGCCAGCGTTGCAGCCGATAGCATGCCTATATAAACATCAACGGAAAAGACTACCGATAGTCATAGTCACACTTGAATTGGCAGTGATATTGAGACAGAGAACTAAGGTCATAAAGAGAATGGTATTCCATTTTTTTTGTGGCTTGTGGTACTATGAAAGTCACTTAGAAACAAGCCTGCTATTCACTCCCTCTGTAAGGTCCATCATATCATTAGAAGGTATTGTGGAAAAATACCTAGGTCTTTCTGCTAAATTTTAGATAAGATTTT